ACTGAAGCGTGCATACAGTTGAACCCAATACTATATATGCGACGTTCTTCTATACGTATTCAATTGATAAATGAACAATACATAAATAACCAGCACATATAAGACAAACTTATGGCGGCGTTTTGGTCCGACTCGGACCATTAACTAGTCACACAGTACGACTAGCTAATGGTCTAAGTCGGGCCGAAACATCGTCAAAAGTTTCATTGTCCTATGTATGGAATATCTATGTACTGCTCCAGTCACGCTATTGTGCCTTTTTATATTCTTGATAAATGAAATGTTGCCATTCACGAAGGTCGTTACTATTTTTTTTAACCGAGAAATCCAGAATGTAAACTGACATTTCCTTGATAATTCAACAATGAATTTCACTTCATAAATGGCATAAACAAATTTTAGGCAGGAATATTTTCATACACTGAAATAGTATCACATTCAGTAACGAGGTGCTGTACACGCAGGAATCGTAGAGCGATCATCACGTAGTATGTATTGAGATCATTACTATGCACAGTAACGAGTTATTCATAAGCATACAAGATAACCTATTTTTCATTCTAAAATTACAAGTGATACTTAAGTTACTAAAATATTGTTTGACTGCAGTATTATTACCTGCTTATAATAATTTTCATTACATACATTACACGGTTTTCCCTGACACAGTTTGGGTGGTCTCATGCACTGCTGAACCTCGTTTCTTTTCTAATTATTTTCTGAATATACATTCATGTATGGATAATTCTGCCAGCAGGTGATAATGCAACATATTTACGTTTCAGTTAGAGCTATAATGTCTTGAGTCTCAGAATCTGCATGATCATTTAATAAGTTTCAGCAAGTTGATAGAGAAAAATTTGTCTGCAATTAATTAGATTTTGGATAAAAGAGAGAGTAAGGGAGAGAGCGAGATTGGGAAGGGGAGCAGACACACTTACAAGTAGCGCTCCAGGGGTGACGACCAACCACATAGAGCACCAGTACCAGTAGACTGGACATGTCAGACGCATTCCCATTTCCCTCAGGTTTCTCATCAGCTTCGAGAATCCTGGGGAGGAACACCGGTATAGTGTGGGGGGTCAGAGAGGAGGAGAGAAAGTGAAAGGAAGGGATTGAGAGGAAAAACGAGCGATATTGACGAAAAGGAGACAGTATATGATTATTTTATACCATGGTCTTAAAAATGCACATAAAAACAGCCCAATTTAAGATGAAGGAAAATGTAATTTCCAAGTCATATGTAACTGTATGTCTTTCTCATTGAAATATTTGTAACACCTGCCTTCATATGTGACCACTGAAAGACAGGTACTAATGAACATGGGACCACTTGAAGACAGGTATGAATGAACATGTGACCACTGGAAGACAGGTTTGAACTATATAATCTTCACTTACATTTTTATAGAAGAATAACTTGCTAACAAGCTAAATAATCTTAGAAAAGTGGGGAAAAATGCATACAGAATACATTTCGATACCTTTCAGCAACACCTAAAGGCTTTAATGAAAATTGTAATGTTCTTTACGTAAGATTATATTAAGGAAATCTTCCTGATATAAGACTGGTTGTGTATATACGGAAAATAAACAGTTACATAGTGGAATATTTGTTGTTTATACATTTATTTATTCACTGAAACGGCTGTACAATATACGGTGCATATATCCGATATTTAACTAGATGATACTGACGTACCGTAGACGTACTGGACACCAAGCAGCTGCAGTATACCCAGCACAATGACGGAGACGCCGGCGGAGTAGAAAAAGAAGAGCTCAAACATGAAGATGCCGCCCTCCAAGCACATAGTGAGCCCCATTAGGAAGATGATGACGCAGGTTGTCACCACCACCAGTGTTTTTCTCTGTCGCATCCACTCAAACTGGTCCGCCAGGGCTGTCGTTACCGTCTCCACCATAGTAAACTGTAGGGATGACAATATTAAATGCACTCTTATTTGCCTCTATTTTTTTTATTGATCCAAGTTATGCACCGCCGCCAATACTGAAGATACACTTTGCAGAACAAATTTTTTACTGGGAAACGTTTGGCTCTGTGTAGAGCTTTATTTAGTCGAAGTTCTACACAACGAAACTTTGTCCCAATAAAATCTGGTTCCGCAATACATCTATTTTCTAGGAGGAAAAACTTGGCTGCGAGAGCAGACTAACGTTTTTAGCGAACTGAGGATCGAGCCTCTACCACCCCTTGCGTTGAATGATCTACACGGGTATAGAACAACACATATACTGTATTTACCAGTCTCAACGCATCCATAGTCAACCTTACATATCTCTCTGAATCACAATCGGGGATGCTGCAGAATTGCCTCTAGTGTGACTATCTGTTTTAATCACGGAAGAGGGAGGGAAGCAGAAAAACCTGTTGGGGCCATATAGCACCTGGGAAATGGGAGACATTTAGGCTCGATCCATGGAATAAGAAAATAAGCCCGGTTCCTTGGATCAAAAGCCTCTCATCGGAATCAAAGTATCTTCAGGAGAGTGTTAATATCAATATCCATCATAAGGAGAGAGAGCTAATATAAATGCCTGTCATTCCCATCATTGTTAGGTAAATGTGATTGATAAAGTGGTCGATTATTATAATTAATAATTATTATAAACAATTTAAGAGCTAAACTCGAAAGGGTTATACAGCGCTGCAGAGATATGGTAAGTAGGAATGTGCAAAGGGCAAGGAGGGCGAGGGTAGAAGTTAGTGGAGGTAGAGAAGAGGGCAAAATATTTAAATACAAGTTGGTCCAGTAGGTTAGTTTCTGTTAAAAAGTCTGAGTCTGTGTCAAAGATGGGTAAAGAGATGAATGCATCGCCTCTGAGGAGGCTGCACAGTAAGAATTTCTAGCTAGGAACCTAATTTCCTGGCATTACTGTGTCCATAAACAAGCTAAGCCTGTGTAGGTCATTGTATTGCCTAAAAAATGGCCTTTATGTTAGACTTGGAGAGTAGAGGCGTGGAGAAGAAGTGAAGTTGCGAAAGAAAATCATAATTGGCACAATAAGTCAGTTTCTATTAAGAAGTCATAGAGAGTTCTTGCACTAAAGGTGGCACCTTGTTAGATAAGTGCAGTTTAGTGAAGGCATGTCGAAAAATAAATCTGCGTGTTCTTTAACAACCAGGATAGTAAATTAAGAGATGTTTGACTGTCACCGCTACCTGATAATCCGTTAAGGATCATGAAGGAGTATGAGACATGTATGAGACAGTTTCTTGGAGTAAAAGCCCTTCATCAACACCAAGACACTCTTGAAGGGGTGACAGGCGTGCGAGGCACAGTAGAAGGTACACATGACTTACTTGTGAGCCGAATCCAAGACTCATGAGCATGAGGAAGAAGAGGACAGACCAGAGTTGAGGTAAGGGCATGAGGCTGAGAGCGGCCGGGTACACCACAAAGGCCAGACCAGAGCCAGACGTGGCTACATCCTTCACCTCTACCCCAAGCTGCTTTGCCAGGAAGCCCAGCACGCTGAACGTGACGAATCCAACGAATATCGACGTCAAGCAGTTTGAGAAAGAGATGACGATAGCGTCCCTGAAAAGAGCAAGTTGAAAACACGAGGTTTAGCAGACTGTCCTGTCTATAAGCAAGCACCTTTTCCACTATATTCTGACGATGCTGCATGTCCCACCTCTGATGCACACTTCGGCTTTTTATAATGGAAACTAATCTACTGCACCAACTTTGTTTTAAATTTTACTCTTGCACTAACCCATACCTCCTCTAACACCTACCTTCACACTCTCCTGCCACTCACTTCTTACCCTGGCACATTCCTACTTTTGCATATTCTTCCCCGCAACGTCGTATGACCCTCACGGGTTTAACGCTTAAACTGATTAACATTATCATTATTATTAGACAATTCTACTTCTGAAACCGTCTATGAAGTTCGCCTCCACTCCTTCCTTGTACTATAATTTATAAGCCATCCATTCATCCCTTCTTGAAGACCATCCAAGTTTTTGAGTAGCCTATGTTTTCATCCTCTTCCTTTCGTATTTTCCTCAATTTTTTTTAAAACTTTATCCTGAATAAGAATAAGTATGATTTATTTCCTTTAACCAGATCATTAATATACACTAAAAATAAATAGGAACAAAAACCGATCCTTACGAAAACCTACTGGTTACAATCCCTCACAGTTGAACACTCGAACAAAATTTCGAGATAAAATCTTTATTTTCTTAGTAGAATAATTAAATATTTCTCAACAATACACTTACCTCATGCAGTTGTTGTTGAACTTGTTATAGGAGGCGAGCGTAGAAAGACAACCAAAGCAGATCCCGAGAGAGAAGCAGATCTGTATAGCAGCGTCACTCCATACCTCCATCTCCATGAGTTGGGAGATATTAGGCTCGAGCAGGTAAAACTGGATTCCCTGATAGGCCCCGTCTAGAGTGATGGCTGGCAGGTAGAGCAGAAGTGCACATTACTGGAGGCTTAATTCATCGTAAGCTGGGATTGAAAAAAAAATCGTATTTGCCAATTCGGCAAGCACGTGCGCACGCGCACACACTATCGGCAAGTGCCTTTGACAACTGGTTAACTTACACACACCTCTGATAAACAGGATGAAAAGGACGACGTATGGAAAGAAAGCAGTGAAGTAAGTTATTTTGCCGGTTGTCTTGACACCTTTGGCCAGGCAGGCAGCCACGATAACCCAGGACAGAGCCAGGTAGCCAAATAATTCCCAACGCATCCCTCCCATGTCCTCCCAGTGCCTCCCACCAACTGCCAGCATGCGGTTCCTGGTATGGAATAAGATATTGTTCAATGGTCTGCAAAATTTCTAAGTAGTGCTATTAATTCCTCATCAACGCCAAAGAAAATATTTATATAATACTAATCATAACAACTCACCAAAGACTCAAATTTTGCTGAAAGAAAAAACAATATTCATCAAGCAGCAACGATAACTCACAACTATCCACAAATTGGACGTTTCGGTCTGTCCTGATCCTTATTAAGTAGTGACTTAATTATGGTTAAGAACGGACCAAAACGTCATTTAGTTTCATCTTCAGTTTGTGGGTTAGTTGTAATTTGTTCCAGGCATGGTGCTGTGACTTTTATTCTTCCCAATAACCATACTGAAAAGCGACAATCTGATGAGCGATTTAACAAGACAATGCACGTCACTCTAGCACTCACCTAAAGAAGTCCTCACTGGCACTCATCCGATAAACGGCGCCGTCAGCTTCCCTAATAACGTCGTGGTTTTCGGGACTGTAGCAGTGGGTATCGTTGTAGTCGCTGAGGGAGGCCAAGCTACAGTATTCGTGGGTGTCGAGGCAGGTTCTGTTGTAGTAGTACAGCGAGTTGTTCTTACATACGCTCGCGTCCTCCTCAGTGAAGCACTCTCCAGGAAGGGGAAGAGAGATCACACACAAATATGTTTTATCATAACAATATCAGTATTAGAAGCAGTGGCTATACCGCAGCAGGAGTAGAAGTAGTAGTAACACACGATGGCTTCCATCGCTAATAATACGGATAACCCAAGGAAGCCAGGTAATGTGGCTTATTTTCAGTGTGATCGTTCAATGACTTCGTTCAAGATTCGTTCCCTGGTCTTTTCAATTAGTCAAACGCGCTATCACTGCACTACGAGAAACTTTAGTTGCACTGGCAGACCCAGTAATAAAAGTAGAACTATCAAGATCAACAGTAGTGGCTACAGTGCTGCAGTAATATAAGTAACAATGGGACCTTATGTAAAATTATTAATATTATAGGCAACAGTACCACAGTTGCAGTAATATGAGTAAATAAGTTGTAGCAACAGTAGCAGTATTAAGAGCAATAGCAGTTTTACCAATAACAATATTAATAGCACCAATAACAATAGCAGCAGTAACAGTAGCATCAGCAACAATAACACGAATGTATTAATATTGGTAGAATTACCGACATGTTAATTATTATTATAATAAAAAAGAAGCGCTAAGCCACAAGGGCTATACAGCGCTGCAGGGCAGGAAGGAAGCGAGGGCATCAGGTGGCAAAAGGGAGATGGACGAGTAATAGATTACGGATAACAGCGGGGCAGTGGATGGTGAAAGGGTAAAGGGCAGCAAGAGACTGAACTAGAAAGGGCTGAGGGGAGTGCGAAAGGTATCATCATCAGAGTTTGTGGAGTAAATCAGTCGTTGTCAAGAAGTCAATGAGAGAGTCAGGATTAAAGGAGGGTCCATCAGCAAGAAGGGAAGGTAGAGAGTAGTAGAACGAGGATGACGTTGGAGGTAAATTCTGCGTGCTCGTTGATAGAGAGGGCAGTCTAACAGAATGTGGCTAATCGATACTGGAACTTGACACTGCTCACAGAGCAGAACAGGGTGCCTCTCCATGAGATACCCATGAGTAAGACGAGTGTGGCCAATGCAAAGGCGGGAGAGAGTGGTCTCCCAACCTCGGCACTGATGACAAGAAGACGGCCAGTAACCTATGCTCGGTTTAATAGAATGAAGTTTGTTACCGAGCAGAGTTGACCAACGTTGTTGCCAACGGGTGTGAAGGTGGGTAGCTATTGCAGTAAAATAGTCCAGAAATGGAACACCTCTATAGGAAATTGGTAGGTCATGTACTGCTGACTGCGCAGCAGCGTCTGCCTGTTCATTGCCCTGTACGTTGACATGACCAGGGACCCAACAAAAAACAATATCTTTATGCTTGGTAGAGATACAGCGTAGCCAAAGTTGGATACGGAGAACTAGGGGGCGAGATGTATCAAATTTTCGTATAGCCTGTAGAGCACTAAGGGAGTCTGAGACTACCACAAATGATGACACAGGCATAGATGCGATACGAATAAGTGCTGCAAGAATGGCATACAATTCAGCAGTAAAAATGCTAGCTGAAGATAGTAAATGCCCTCGCACGACACTGTCCGGAAACACTGCTGCGAATCCGACACCGTCTGAAGACTTAGAGCCATCTGTGTACACAGCGATGGCATGAGAATGAGAGTGGAAGTGATCAAGAAAAAGAGAGCGGGAAGCCACCGTAGGCAGTTGGGCTTTCGAGCAAGGGAGTGAGAAAGAACAGACCCGAACAGCTGGAACTTCCCAGGGAGGTAGGGAAAAGTGAGATGCTACATGAACATATAAAGGTGGTAACTGAAGGGAAGACAAGAGCGAATGTAGGCGAAGAGAAAAGGGATGGAGCAAACAGGGGCGGCGAACAAATAAAGAATGTCTACTAATATCGGTGACCATTCTATAAATGGAAGGATTGTGGAGATCGTGAGAGCGTACATAGTAGCGAAGGCAATGGGCATCACGGCGATCAGACAAGGATGGAACATTCGCTTCTGCATAGAGGCTCTCAACAGGGGAAGAGCGAAAAGCACCAAGGCATAAACGTAATCCTTGGTGATGGATGGGGTTAAGGCTAGAGAGAGTAGCAGGAGAGGCCGCTGAATAAATCTGGTCACCATAATCGAGTTTCGATAAAACGAGGGCTGAATGTAGGCGAAGCAGAGTTCGACGATCAGCTCCCCAGGAAAGATGAGCAAGGGTTTTAAGAAGGTTTAGCCGGCCGTGACAAGTTGCCTTCAGAGAGGTAATGTGAGGTTTCCAGGATAACCTACAGTCAAAGAGAAGGCCTAGAAACCTGACTGTATCACGTTCGGGGATACGAGAGCCATAGAGATACAAAGGATGATCGGAGATGACAGAGCGTCTAGTGAAAGTAATTTGGTGAGTTTTGGTACTGGAAAATTTAAACCCATGCGTGGTGGCCCAAGTGGAAACACGGTCGACCGCATGCTGGAGAGAAACTGCAATGAGATGACAGTCAGCGCCTGCACAAGCAATAGCGAAGTCATCAACATAGAGTGATGACCAAATATTGGGTGGAAGAACAGAGGCCAAATCATTTATAGCAAGGAGAAAAAGTGTTGTGCTCAGAACACATCCCTGAGGGACACCTTCAGCTTGGACAAAGTCTGGGGAAAGCACATTATTGACTCGAACGGAAGTGTCTGTCAGTTAAAAAGTTCTTAAGGAAGGATGGTAGATTGCCTCGGAGGCCTAAGGACTGGGCTTGGGCCAAAATATTATACCTCCAAGTTGTGTCATATGCCTTCTCAAGGTCAAAAAATATGGCAATAACCGAGTGATTATTTGCAAAGGCATTACGAACATACGTATCCAAGCGTAGTAAGGGGTCTATGGTAGAACGGCTCTTACGAAAGCCATATTGACTAGCGGAGAGACTGTTGTGTCTCTAAATACCACATTAAACGTCGATTTACCAGACGTTCCATCACTTTGCAAACTGCACTAGTAAGAGCGATGGGACGATAGTGGGAGGCATCATGTCCTGTAGTACCCGGCTTGCGGAAAGGGAGAACAATGGCAGATTTCCACAGCTGGGGAAGAGCTCCTTGTGCCCAAATAAGATTGAAGAGGTGTAAGAGGACTACAAGGGCTGACTGATGTAAATGTTGTAACATACGAATATGAATGTCGTCAGGTCCAGCTGCCGATGATCGGCAAGCTGAGAGTGTTGCCTCCAGTTCCTGAAGTGTAAAAGGCACATTGTACTGTTCTTCTCTGAGAGAAGAAAAGTCCAAGGGTACTAACTCTCTGGCAGACTTTGAGGAAAGAAACGAGGGGCATAGATGGAGCCCCCGGGAAATACGGACCAGATGAGTGCCAATTTCAATGGCAACGTCAAGAGGGTTTGCTACATCAATACCGGCGACCCGTAGAACAGGAGCCGGGTCAGGAGAGCATTTACCACTCAATTTCCTCACTTTTTTTCCAGACTGCACTCATAGAGGAAGCAGAGGTGATGGTGGAAACAGTCTCGCCAGCAAGTGCATTTAGCATCACGGATGACACGGCGAGCGATCGTATGCTTCTGCTTAAAATCAAGAAGTCCCTCATTGGTTCTATTGTATCGGTACCTGCCCCATGCAGCGTGTTTTAAACGTACTGCACGAACACAAGCAGGAGACCACCAAGACACACACTTCTGAGAATGCTTGCCTGAGGTTTGGGGTATAGAATGAGAAGCTGCGGTATAAACTGACGTCGAGAAGAGGTGTAGGAGCTCATCAATGGAGGATGAAGAAGGAACCTCACTAAATGCAGTGAGCTGCAAGTAAAGGTCCCAATTTGCCCGATCAAATTGCCAGCGAGGGCTACGGAAAGGTGGTGAATATGAAGGAGAAGTAAGAATGATTGGAAAATGATCGCTGTCATGTAAGTCCGGTAGAACAGACCAGGTGAAGTCTAGTGCAGTGGAGGAAGAGCAGACTGAAAGATCGATGCAAGAGAGAGTATGAGTATGAGGATCAAAATGGGTGGGAGTACCCATATTTAAAACATGGAGGGGGTGAGAGGCGAGAAAAGCCTCCAACTGGATGCCACGTGAGTCACAATGAGAACCCCCAGAGTAAATGGTGGGCGTTAAAATCACCAAGTAACAGAAGTGGTGGTGGTAAGGATGAAACAAGAAAGGCAAAGTCTGGGATAGAAAATGCTCGAGAAGGAGAGAGATATAAAGAACATATTGTAAACTACTTCTGCAAGTGGATACGGGCTGCAGTGTAATGCAGCGAGGTATGGACAAATAGTTGACAGTACGGAATATCATTGCGTAGAAGAAGGGCACTTTCATTAAAGGTCCCATCTGAGAAGGGATCCGAAGAATACAATAAATTATAGCCTGAGATAGGTTGGAAAACAGCCGAGTGTAATTTTGGTTCTTGTAAGCAAGCACCAACAGGGGAAAATCTGGAAAGCAACATCTGAAGCTCACCCCGATTACCCCTGAGGCCGCGGATATTCCACCGTAAATAGGCCATGATTGGCGATGAAGAAAATACCAGGAATCCGTAGGGAAAGGCACCTACGGACTAGAGGGGTTAGAAAAGTCAACGTGTGGTGGCATTGGAAGATGTTCAAGCAGCGAAGGAATGGAGCGTTGCGAAGAATGGGGTTGTGAAGATATAGGAGAGGGAAGAGAAGGAACAGGAAGTGAATCAGTGTCCATTGAAGGTTTAGTCTCTGCAATATATTCTGAAATGGTTTCAAGTGTTTCTGAATTCAAAGATGTATGGGAGACCATATTGGAGGTAGAAGGGGGAGGGTGAGTAAAGATTGGGACAGTAATGGACTGTACCAAAGTAGAGGGGGACGAAAGAGTGTAAGGGACTGGAGATGAAGTGTGGGGGGGACAGAAGAGGCAGAAACCTGGGAGGTGGCAGAAGAGGGAGAAACTTGGGAGGGGACAGGGGTGGAAGGCATAGTACGAGGAGGAGGGTGAATCTCCACACTTGTAATAGAGCCAGAGAGAGGGGAAGAACTAGGCACAGAGACTGGAAAGGTAAAGTGTGGAGGTGGAAGAAGGGAAGGAAGGGGCGAAGAAGATTTGAGCAATGTGGATTTTTTGGACTTCTGAGAAGTAGAGGGGCGATTGGTATAAGGTGTCGTACGAGGTCTTGTCGAGGAAGGACGCGAAGATGTGAGAACAGACTGAGTTGTAGTCGGGACGTCAGAGCCAAGGACAGCAAAAGGATTAGATGCCGGAGTGGCTATGGGAGGGGTAACAACAGAGGAGGCTGCAGAAGATGGGACCCCAGAAGTGGGGGGATGTTTTGAAGCACGAGAATAAGAAACACAGGGTAGTCTTCCTTGGAGGTGGAGATGAGTAACTGCCATAGCATAAGGGAGACCTTCTGCCTCTTTGAGGCAACGGATTTCATGTTCATTTAAGTAGACCTGGCAACGGCGGGAGTACAAAGGGTGAGCTTCATTACAATTAAGGCAAGATGGAGGTTGACTGCAAGATGTATTAGAATGGTCGTCGGCACCACAGACTGGGAATTCGGCTATAGATCTGCAATATTTCGCTGGGTGACCAAAACGCCAGCAATTTCTACACTGTTGCGGTGTAGGTATCACCTTTCGAACTTGTAACCGATGTCCCGCGACATATACAGAGGACGGGAGTTCTCGGCTGTCGAAAGTTAAATGAGCCACATTGCAAAGGTAGTGTCTCCGCCCACGGGCAGGAAGAACATAAGTGTCTGCTTTGAGGATTGGGAGATCCTGGAGTTCCAGCTGTTCAAGAATGTCATTGCCACATGACTGAAAATTCTGTTGGACTATGGTATGGGACAGAATGACAGTACCACTACAAGAATTGAGAGAAAGATGTTTTTCAATAGTGATAGGAGTAGTATCGATATTCGAAAGGAGAGAAAGATCATGAGCTTGGGTAGCATTCTGGACAGTGACGATGCACGTACCGCTCTTGAGAGCATGAAATGAAATATCTCTACCAACATGACGCAGGAGCGCTTTGCCAATACTATGGTCAGAAAGATAGGCAGAAGAAGAAGTCGGTCTTAAAGTAAAGAATTTAATCCATTGTGTGGTCCGAAACTGAGAGTGGAGAGGGAGTGCATGACGTGTCGGTCTTTTCTGAGTAGAATGGGAAGGTAACAAAGGAGCATCATCAGGAGATTGACGTTGGCGTTTAGGAGTAGGACCGGAGTTGGTCCGGCGTGAAATGGGCTGGCGATTCGAAAATTGCCGTACCGTAGAGGGAGAGGCCGGAAGCATAGTCAAAGGAGAGCGGAGGTCAGACAAATCGAAGGAGTCAGTCGAAGCCCCGGTACCTGAAGCGGGTGAGGAAACAGCACCAGCAAGAGGTACAGGGGCATCAGGAGTGTCCGAAGAATGGTCTAAAAACAAGGCAGGGTCAGAATGGGGTGCAGTATCAAGAAGGGGCCCGGGGGTAGTGGGTTCATGGATTGGGTTCTCCATGGTTAGGTTACTCCTTTGCTTTTTGTTTTTAAGAAAAAAAAGAAAGAAAATAAAAATAAAAAAAAAATAAAAAAAAGGGAGGAGCGGGGAGGAATATTTCCCAGGAGGAATGAAAGGGCTGGAAATCTCCCTCCGCGCCCAAGAGGACCTCAGCACTGCTAGTAGCGCAGATGCAGCATGGAACCCGTGCCATACCCTACCCTTCATGCCAGTAAACCAGCAATCCAGGATAGCAACCTCACATTTGCCGAGCTACCTCGGTGGACAAAAGAGAGGGCGGCCGGATATCCGCCACAAAGCATACCTCCTTCGGCCACCACCCCCGGAATCCGAAAGGTGGCTTCCAGAGATACACCCGTCGCCCGAAAGACACTCAAAGCTACTCCGGGATACCGGAGAGGGATCGGGACATCCCCAGGCGATCCAGATTCCACGGCAAACTACGCCACCGCCAAGAACCTCAACGGAATGGGATGGACCCCGGTATCCTTTCCCCTACCTAGGAACTAGCGTGCCTGTGGGAGAAATCCCAAAGGCCAAAAAGAGGAAGGGCAAAAGGGAGGGGTGGGGAGGAGGAGGAAAGGAAAAAGGGGAGGATGGGATAGGGAGGGGGTATTGGGTGGTAATTAGGTTCGGTCTGAGGAAGGAGACCGACAGGCCTGATTCCTCAGACCAAGAGCCTCTTCACCACAACAAGGAGCCCCCCTTGAAGAGGACAATATGTTAATTCAATTCAATTCAAAGTTTATTCTCTATAAGGATTACAATGCTGAGTTTACAGAAATTTGGTTATTGTTTGGTTTGCATGTAGTAAAATTGTGATTACAGAGTGTACCACTAAAGCTAAAGGACACACGTGCAACTAATGTGACATTTTATTGTGGCAACTTTTCACTTTCCAGGAGCTTTGTCAAGCCGTTAGTAACGGCTTGACAAACCTCTTGGAGGGCCAACCGTTGCGACAATAAAATGTCACATTAGTTGCACTTGTGTCCTTTTAGTTAACAATAACACGAGCAGCAGCAATAGGAAATAGGAGTAAACGTCATTGTAACTATAAAAGTAACAAGAAATTCCACCTCCAGCCCCTCTTCCTCAGTCATCCCCAGAGCGTTTCTCACCATACAACTTCCCGATAAAAGTTAGGCCAGCGGTACAATGTTGATGTTTTTAATGCTGTTTAAAACGGAGCGCATCTCACCAGGAGAGTTGAAGTAGTTGTCACAGCGTGCCCAAGGAAGTTGCGAGGAGAAGGAGGCCACGGTGTAGAAGAATGTCCACGCTATAATTACATTGAAGTAGATGGCCGTCAGTAGAGAAAGCATCACCATACCCCACCCTAAGCCTGCAGGCACGGAGAACTGAGCCATAGTCGTTATGCGAACCGAAAAAGACACAACTATCCTATAAACCCAGCCCCTTCTCCCTCAATGCTCTCAAAATTCAAGTACAGAGTGCGGCATAAGTTACTAATGCGGTTAAATATCAGTGATGAAAAATTTTAAACCAATTACCAGAAGTATTCACAAGTTAGTACATGGAACAATGTAAAAATTTCTTCAATAAAAGTGGCAAAACGGTACCTTCCACTAAGGTACACAAGCTCTGAAAATTTAAGGCGAATCAGATGAGGCATTCGCTAGTTATCGTCAGAAGCCAATATTCCAAAATGCGCTCAAAAGCTTTTCTCGGCGTTGACGTTTGAAGCTAATTGGATAAGGCAATCACAAATTATAGAACGAAAACCACAATGTAAAATTTGGCAGTCTTCGATAAAATTAGCTCTGGCTGTTACACAATTAAAAATGGTCAGAAGTCTCCAGTTACCGTGCTGAAAACTATTTTGCTTAATAAACTTGTAAATTAAACTATCCGGGGGTGATTCAAAGAGAAGGGAAGCGGACAACCTTGGCATCTCTGGGCGGGGAAGCAGTGACCTTTTTCCCCTGGGAGAGGGGATGCCAAAAAGCAATGTCCCACAGGTATGTGCAATCCTTTGATTTGCGTTTTTTTTAAATTAAAAATATATACAAGAACTTCTTGACATTTAAACCCAAAAATCTTTAAAAAAATCGTCCTCCAGGGGTATCACCTGGATTCCCGGACACTCTCAGGGCCTTTTTAAAAACCCATTTTTTTTTAAAAAACTTGATTTGATTTTACTAAATTAAAACTTATTACTTACTGCAAGTACTTTTTTATTTAAAAATAAAGAATTAAAAAAAATCGCCTTCGGCGAGTTTTAGTCCCTCGGTACAGGCCAGCGGCCTACCCTCGGAATTCTGAATCGCCCGAAATCAATGCAAATTTTATTTGGGATATATAAAGAAACAAAATTTGAAGTTAATCAGAAGAGGTATTTCAGTTATTGCTCGGTAATTCAAACTATTTCAAGTTTTATAACTATTTGGTAAACTTAAATTTGAAACAACGCAACCTTAACATCTAAATCTTCAGGTCCTAACATAGAGCATCAGTCCTGAGTTTCCCAAAACACATACAAAGTTATTTTATGAGAAAATACTATAACATTTTAAAAATAAAATTGACAAAATAGCACATATGCTCTCCAATATCTAAAACTTTCTTCTAAGTATGGTGTACAAGTGTTGAAAGTTTGAAGCCGATCAAAAAAAGAATCTCATGTCACACAAATCAAAATAGACAATGGCCCATATAATATGGACCAGAGGGCCCAAACAAGGCCAATGTACTTCAGAATTGAAAATTTGAACCCGATGATAGCATTTCGCGTTAAAAAAAAACCTGGAGAAAAAAAAATTAGGCAAGCATTACAAGGAACCCTCACTCAGATAAAACATAGTAAGAAAAAACAGCAAGGAAAATAAACGCGGGAAAGAAAACAATTTAAAATCATTATTAGTACCGAAGGACACTCGACGGGCAAACTTTTATATTTGTTGTTAACAAACAAAAATATAAAATACGGAAAAATAAAGCAAAAGGGAAATGAAATTGGTATATCAAAATTCATAAATGAACCAGTCGAAAGAAAAACACGAGAAAGATAGAATCGAATCGACGAATAAAACCAACACTGTCGGGCCCAAGCGCAAAGAAAAACTGCTAAAAGTGTGAAGGAAATTAAGATAAGAATTTACGGACATAACATGAGGACGACCTATCGAAAGGAGAGAAATAAAAGTAAGGAATCCCACGACTACCCAAAAATCCAAATGAAGGAAGTTTAGAAATTCTTTATAGTAACAGGCGACCACAAAAAAAGAAAATCAAAACAATGAAAGAGAAAAAAATATGAAATACCAAAACAAAATGGACAAAGAACGGATAATCTATTAAAACTAGATAAGAATTATATGTATGAGATAACTGTACTGGTTAAAATTGGGGAATATTATTTAGTATAATATATATATTATTATAATTATAATTATATAATTATATATAATGAAATGCCACTATTTCAACAAAAAACAGTGGGACTACTGATATGCGACCAAAGGCAAGCACGGTAATGACATTTTTCGCAACACCATGAAGTATCGGAGTTAAAGGAGTCAACCCCCATTAAAACGGGACGAAATCTTTACTGGGTAAAAAAATTTAAACTCTAATTCACCTGGTAAAGGTGAAACTCAAATCTAGACGGGCAAAATTATATGCTACACCACCAAACGTACATGGCACTCAAAACGTACACTGGTACTCATACGTTACATGTACTCATACGTACACTGTACAATCGCTACTTGTATATACGCTACTGGTACTAATTGTACATAGCACTATTACGCTAATGGTACTAATATGCTCATGGTATATAATATTTACACTAGCATAATACGCTAACTGGTACTAATCGCTTACATTTATAATATGCTACACTAGCATAATACCTACATGGTCTATACGCTACACTAGCACTAATAGCTACATGGTACTAAATACGCTCACTGTTATATATGTACATGCAAATCGATCACTGGTACAATCCCTACACTAGCACTAATAGCTACACGGTCTAATCGTACACTGGTACTAATATGTACACTAGCACTATACCTACACTGGTACTAATACGCTACATGGTACTAATACGTACACTGGTACTATATCTACACTAGCAAATACGTACACTGGTACTAATATGCTACATGGTACAAAATATGCACACTACCTAATTCGCTCACTGGTACAATACCACATGTACTTATATGCTAACTAGCCTATACGCTACACTTTTACTATACGCTACATTTGGTACTAATTGCTCCTGCATAATCGTACACTGGCACTAATACGCTACATGGTATAATACGCTACACTGGTTACTAATTACGCCACACTGGTACTAATACGCTCACACTGGTACTAATACGCTACACTGGTACTAATACGCTACACTGGTACTAATACGCTACACTGGTACTAATACGCCACACTGGTACTAATGCCAACGGTAATACGCCACACGGGTTTACTAATGCCACACTGTACTAATACGCCCACGGGTTTACTAATACGCCACACTGGTACTAATACGCTACACTGGTACTAATACGTACATGGTACTAATACCCAACTGGTCAAATAACGTACGGGTACTAATACCCCACACTGGTACTAATACCCACAGGACTAATACCCCACACTGGTACTAATAGCTACACTGGAAATAATACGCCACACTGGTACTAATACGTTTACACTGGTACAATACACCACACTGGTACTAATACGTACACTGGTACTAATAGCCACACTGCTAAAAACCCACACTGGTACTAATACGCTACACTGGTACTAATACGCCACACTGGTACTAATACGCCACACTGGTACTAATACGCTACACTGGTACTAATACGCTACACTGGTACTAATACGCCACACTGGTACTAATACGCTACACTGGTACTAATACGCCACACTGGTACTAATACGCCACACTGGTACTAATACGCTACACTGGTACTAATACGCTACACAGGTACTTATACGCCACACTGGTACTAATACGCTACACTGGTACTAATATGCTACACTAGCACTAATACGCTACACTGGCACTAATACGCTACACTGGTACTAATACGCTACACTGGTACTAATACGCCACACTGGTACTAATACGCTACACTGGTACTAATACCCCACATTATAAAACCCCAAACATGGTACTATAGCTACAGGTACTTATACCCACTGGTACTAATACGCTACACTGGTACTAATACGCTTACCACTGGTACTAATACGCTACACTGGTACTAATCGCCACACTGGGTACTAATACGCTACACTGGTACTAATACGCACACTGGTACTAATACGCTACACTGGTACTAATATGCTACACTGGTACTAATACGCTACACTGGTACTAATACGCTACACTGGTACTAATACGCTACACAGGTACTTATACGCCACACTGGTACTAATACACCACACTGGTACTAATACGCTACACTGGTACTAATACGCTACACAGGTACTTATACGCCACACTGGTACTAATACGCTAAAATTACATTAATACGTTACACTGCACTATGCTACACTGGCAAACTAATAAAATATAACCAATTATAAATCAGATGTTAACACTACACGTTAAGAAATCTAGGATAAGCCGCGGTGGTGTTGGGAAACACTTAAAAAAAAAAAAACATGTATACAAGAATCCGAAGTTACGCCACAAATTGACTTAAAGCTTTACACAAAATATGACTTCCGAAAAAGAAGACTGAGACTACTGAAACTATTTACAAAGGCTGACCAGAGGCAAGGACGTACAATAACAATACGTAATTTCGTTAAATGGCACGAATAAGTAGATAAACTAGATTTTCTAGAGCCATCAAAAAGTTATATTTGCATCATGCAAATTTAAGTTTTTAAAGGTGTGGACCGGTAAGCCAGTAAATGGTCTCGGTCAGATAAAAAAAAAGCTGCAGTGGCGGGTCATCATATGACTAAGATCCGTCAGGGGTCTCAGTCATAGGATTAGGAAATATTCGTCAATCACGTGTCAGACTGCTTGAATGGAAGAAAAATGAAAATATAATATGCTACTATCACGGGAAACTTCCAAAAATTTAATAATAATATTAATAATAATAATAATAATAATAATAATATAATAATAATAATAATAATAATAATAAAAACACTGAAGACATCACAAGTGTAACTGTTCTTATAACTTTAAATAGGTAATCATAATTAGGACATCACCCAAGAACACACATGCCAGCTTCGGGAAGACAAGCACAGGACAGTCTAGAGGGATGGGCGTCAGATTAGAAGAGCCGAGATATACACAGAGGCCGTCTCATCCTAGAACAGAGTGGGCAGCTATGGGAAGATTGGCACAAGACATACAAGGCTGGAAGAAAGGACGGATGCAGTATAATGTGAACATTTATTTGCAAAGTTTTGCCCACACAATGGTCTTCATCATGTCACAAACATACATTCGTGACTTGATAAAAGCCTACTGCGGGGACGGAACGTTACCAATGAAGGGTCGCATTATGCTACATTCTCTCTCTCTTTAGCCATGGTGTCTGTATTGTATACCATTTCTTTCCACATTAAAAAATGTGACTCACCTGAGAATATGGGCGCCATCTTCGGGAAGAGTCTTCCTGGCCCGAGGCTGACGTGTACTGGCCGAGGGCCAGTTCCATAAAGAAGATAGGAAGGCCGACACACAGCAACATAGTAGTATAGGGGATCAGAAACGCCGCTGGGGAAGAGCAGATAAGAGTATAAGAGGGAAGAAGGGAAAGAAAAAAAATAAGAAATGCAAAAAATGAAATATGAGATAAGGGAAGAGAAGTAGGAGCAGAGGAGAAAAGGAAATAATGAAATGAACTTTACAGTGTACATGATGTGCTATACACACAAAAGCCTAATATATATAAGTAAATAAACCGTGTTGTTATAAAATCGTAATATTTTTATTTTCCTACACGAGTCATTATCAGCACCACTATCATCATTATCATTCAAATCATAATCATAATCAGAGGTATTATGTGTTTTTCGGCACACGGCTGTCTCCCACCAAGGCTGAATGACTCAAAAGAGGACACATTCACCACGACATATTCAACAGCTAGGTTGTGGGAAGTGTGTAAACATCGCAGTTCAAACGACCCTCCCTCCAGAATACACAGGCATTGTTTTCTCACCTCTTAGGAGTCAAGTCCGGCTAACTGGTTTTTCCTGAATCCCTTCATAAATGTTACCTTGGTCACACTCCAACAGCACCTCAAATGCTTAAAATCATTGCAAAGAAACTCCCTCGTCTCACAGTGTCGAAAAGAAGCAAAAAGATTAACCACTAAAAGTTTAAGGGTGTAATTTTTTGTGTTGCTGCGAAACTATGAAAAATAATTTTTAATTTTAATCCTTAAAACTCACGATAGGCGATAGAAAATATTCAGAGAATCAATGGGGTACGGCCCGATCAAATAAAAAAGCTGATCTAGGAGTTTGATTAGGGTTTTGGGTTATATATTTTTTAGGCATTTCAGAGTATTTGCTGATAACTAGTGTGACCGCTACCATTTAATATGGGTTTGGGTTTGAAGAAGGATTTACCAAGTATGGACCAGTAAGCCTGCTGCAGTGGTCTTACTTTCTTATGTTGTTAATATATAAATGTTTGCGAGGGTAAGAGAAACCATCATAAACATCTTGCATCCAACTTAACAGTTTAAATTTAAACTTATATTTACGATGGGACTTGAATAAAAACTTGTCTTGCCTTCGACATGATTCTTAGTTACTTCTATGACTTGTCTCACCTTCTACTCGACTCAGGCTCCCAGGAGTATCAAGGCATTAATTCTTTACCGTGTTTAACGTTCATTAACATTACGCACCCTCCGAGAGACAGTGTATAATCTTATATATACATGATTCATTTTAGGGGGCAGAACCTGAGACAAATCTGCAAAACAAAGGAAGTGCAACATATCATAGTCCACCCTCCCAGGCACCTAGGCTGTGCTCTCGCTGTCACCGGAAGGGGCACACCGCCAACAACTGCCTGCGAGATACCAGGTGCAATTACTGCTACAAGAAAGGACATCAGGAGGACCAGTGTCGGAAAAAAAAGTAACTTGACAGACAGGACCACCTGTTTAGAGACCTTTTTCCCCAGAACAAACCAGCAGGATCTCTGAATTGGTGAACACTCTCACACGTCACCCACTCAGCTACTCCTATCTAGCCCAGCAGGTGGTATGTGCCTTATACAAGACCACAGACCTACATCCCTGCAGCTGCCTCAGTACCCTACCTCTCTCAAGGGCAAGCACCTTACATGCCTACACACACCACCTCAAGCTGACCACATCATGAGGAGTCAGTCTATCGCATCTGTCGGCCAACATTAGAGGTTTCATTCTAATGGTGGAGAGTCACACATAGTTTTATGAACACTCGAGTCCCGACATGATAGCTGTTGTTGAAACATTTTTTGGATGACAGGGGCTCCAGAAAATTTTGAAGAATTGTGGCTACACTCATGGATGAGAAGAGACAGGCAAGAGCAGGAGGGGGTGTTTTCTGTGTGCTTCTCTAAAAATGTTCATGCCCAGCACATTGATGTTGCCACCCCTACTCATCTTGAAATTTATGTTCTTCAAGCTCTGCATAAACACTAGCACCTCTGTACTGCATGTGCATTGTACAGACCCCAGTGGCAACATGCAGACCCCATTTAACTTCCCATGGAAAATATGGACTCCTTCTGCTACAACACCCAAAATGTAACATATCATAATTGTTGGTGACCTCAACCAACACCTTATACAGGGGACTTTGATGACCCTTTTTGCAGTTTTTTTGAATGAGAAAACTTTGTTTTTTATTCCCTACACACATCTTGGCTCCTTCCTTGCCCAGTAGTGAGTGATCTGGCAGAAGGCATAGTCACTTGTCAACCCCTCGGCTACGTTGGATCGTCTGACCCCAAGGCTGTTTTTACGACACTTTAGATCCCAACAGAACGAGGTGAGGAGTGCACACGCACAACCTGGCTATGGGGAAAAAAGTAATTGGCCAGCCCTTTGCTCTGAGCTCGCCACCACCGATTGGAATGCTCTTCTCCAAGGGGATGTTGACAACCAAATGAAAGCCTTCACTGGACACATCCTTAATCTACAACAAGAACACATTCCTCACGGGCAATATGTGACGAAGCCTACAGATCAGCCTTGGTTTGGCTTTCTTTGTAGAGAGGCTGCTACTGCTAAGTACAAAGCATGGCGAAGGTATAAGAGACATCCTACCACCTATAACAGGAACTTGCACACGCAAGTCAGTGGTGACAATAAGGCAGGAGGAGGTGCATTTCCTTCTTAAATCGCTTGACCAAGAAAAGGCTGTGGGCCCAGACAAGTTGAGCCCAAGATTGCTGAGATGTGCAGACCAGCTAGCAGCACCTCTAACTCGCATCTTTCAGCACTGCCTAGTACAGTGTAAATGGCCCTCTCTGTGGAAAGAGGCAAATGTAGTCCCTGTTCACAAAAAGAACAGAGCAGAAATCAGCAACTACAGACCAGTGTCACTCCTGTCAATCACTGGTAAGATCCTTGAGACAATAATCTCAAGACAAATGACAGAGTTTTTTGACTACCACTCACTAGTTTGTAATCGTCAATATGGCTTCAGGAAAGGTTACTCTGCTGCTGTTTGGTTGTTAAACCTCTCCACTAAGTGGCACCAGTCACTGGATGAATCCAAAATCAGCTGTGTGGTAGCACTAGACATTGCTGGTGCTTTCGACCGGGTGTGGCACCAGGGCCTCTTAGCAAAACTTCAAGCACTGAGAATTGCAGGCTCTACGCTATGTCTCCTCAGTGATTACCCTCATGGTAGATTTCTAAGGGTAGCTCTCAATGGAACAGAATCAGCAAGACATCCTATTGGGGCAAGTGTTCCACAAGGAAGCGTGCTGGGACCATTGTTATGGATTGTCTACTTCAACGACCTTCTTCATCTCATCCCAGAATCACATGCATATGCAGACGACTGTACACTGACATTCACTTATCCAAGAGAAGAAATGCCAGCTGCTCTAAGCTACATCAATCACCAGCTAAGAACTATATCAGCTTGGGGAAATAAATGTCAAGTAACATTTGCACCTGAGAAAACGCAAATGATGATCGCCTTTAGGCACCATGATGGTAATGCTGGTGCAGTAGTAAGGATGAATGGGAGAAGTAGTTGATATCCTTGGGGTGAAATTTGACTCCAAACTAACCATGAAGAACCATGTTGTAAATCTAGCAAACAAGGCAGCAGGAAGTTTACAGCACTTCGCCGTATCTCGCATCTGCTTGACAGTAGGGGTTGCAAGATTCTGTACGAGGCACAAGTACGCTCACACCTTGAGTATGCTCCACTTTCTTGGTTTGCCTGCCCCCCCCCCTTTCTCATCTGCGACTGCTTGACAGAGTGGAGAACAGAGCAAGGCGTCTCATCTCTCGCCTGGACCCATCCTGGATAGATATGTCATTTCAGCAGAGCCCTTTAACACCGAAGGGATGGGGTGGCCTTACTGTTATGTCAAGGCCAATTTTTGTCAAAGTACCAAAACTTGGATCCACTTCGAGGACAGCGTGAAACAAACTTTTGTGCCACAAGACGGGCAGAAAGCAGCAACTTCACTCTTGGTGTACCCATTTCCAGAACATCACTCCATCTGAGATCATATATACCCAGGATGACTCGAGTATGGAACACATTCGTACAGCATAATGATGTCAATGAGATAACGTCAGTTGATCAAATGAAAATGCTGGCCCACAGATGGCTCCAACTTCATCCTGTTCCCTACTTGTATGTCTCATAACAATAAAAATGTTTTCAAATGAGCTGATGTAGGTAACAGCTCTTAGCTTGCCAATAAAGTTAGGAGTCCTTAACCTGTAAATAGCTTGTCAATAAAACTAGGGATCCTTAACCTTGTCATACCCTGTGTGTAAAAAAAAAAAAAAAAAAAAAATCTACAAACGGGCTATGAAATAGGTATGACAGTCACTTCAACTTGTCAAAAAATTCAAAGACGAGATCAAGAGCCAGAGCTCGTACTCACTGATGCACATGATTATGAACAGTCAATTACATACATTAACACGTGCAAACGTGTGTGTGTGTACACTCGCCTATATGTGGCTACAGGAGTCGACTCACAGCTCCTGGCGCCGCCTCTTCGCTGGTCGCTACTAGGTCACTCTCTCCCCGTTCCTAGAACCTTATCATACCTCTTCTTAAAGCTATGTAGGGAACTAGCCTCCACTATTTCACTCTCCAGATTATTCCACTTCTTGACAACTCTAAGGCTAAAGAAATACTTCCTAACATCTTTATGACTCATCTGGGTTTTCAGTTTCCAGCTGTGGCCCCTTGTTCCTGTGCCCCATCGCTGAAATATTCGAGCCCTGTCCACCTCGTCAATTCCTCTTAGTATTTAATACGTCGTTATCATGTCCCCCCTATCCTCTAGTGTCATCAGGTTGAGTTCCCTTAACCTCTCTTCATAAGACATACCACTCAGCTCCGGGACTAGTCTTGTTGCAAACTTTTGCACTTTCTCCAATTTCTTGACGTGTTTGACTAGATGTGGGTTTCATACTGATGCTGTATACCCCAGTATGGGCCGGACGTACACGGTGTACAGTGTTGTGAACGACTCCTTACTTAAATGTCGAAATACTATTCTCAGGTTTGTCAAGCGCCCATGTGCTGCAGCAGTTATTTGATTGATGTGCGCCTCAGGGGACATGCTCGGTATAATGCTTACCCCAAGATCCTTTTCTTTAAGTGAAGTTTGCAGCCTTTGACCCCCTAGCCTACACTCCGTCTGCTGTCTACTTTGTCCTTCCCCAATCTTCATGACTTTGCACTTGCTGGGGTTAAACTCCAGGAGCCATTTGTCGGACCAGACTTGCAGCCTATCCAGATCCCCTTGTAATCTTTTCTGATCCTCGCCCGCTTGTATTCTCGTCAGTTTCACATCATCAGCGAACAGCGATACTTCTGAATCTATTCCTTCAATCATGTCATTCACATATACAAGAAACAGCACCGGATCTAGGACTGACCCTTGTGGAACCCCACTTGACACATGCGCCCACTCTGACACTTCGTCAAGTACCAAAACTCGTTGTTTCCTTCTCGTCAGGTATTCCCTGATCTATTCCTGCCTGCTCCTCTAATTTTTGAACCAGTCTTTTGTGTAATACTGTGTCAAAAAGCCTTCATACAGTCCAAAAAACATGCAGTCTACCCATCCCTCCCTTTCCTGTCTTACTTCCGTTACCTCATCGTAGAACTCGTAGATTTGTGACAAAGGATTTCCCATCCCTGAAGCCGTGATGATTGTCATGTATCAGCCCAATCCTTTTAATGTGCTCCATCACTTTTCTCATAACCTTTTCCATGACTTTACATCCTATACAAGTCAGTGAAAGTTACGTTTGTTAGAATGCCCAGAATTTTTGAAAATTTCTTAGGCAAGTGTTGGATGTGAGTGCTGAATTTCAGGTTGCTGTCAAGGTGTATCCCTAAGAATTTTCCAACGTCTTGCCTGTGTGAATTATTTATATGCTGAAATAGGTATTTCTAGCTTTATTCCCAAACAACATAGAAGGTCTTGTCTATACTGAGAGTAAGTTTGTCGGTGGCCATCCAGGTAGAAATCTTTACGAGTTTCTCGTTAATTAAGTTGTGGAGGACAACAGGATCTGGATTAAATAACACAAACGTTGTGTCACCTGCAAACAGGAGAGAACAGAACACTCACCACAAGCACAACACTTGGTACAACACTCACCACACCACCACAACACTCACCACAAGCACTACACTCAGTACAACATTCACCACAATCACTACACTCAATACAACACTCACCACAAGCACTACACTCAATACAACACTCACCACAAGCACTACACTCAGTACAACACTCATCACAATACCCATCACAAGCACTACACTGGGTACAACACTCACCATCGTCACAACACTCACCACAAACACTGCACTCAGTACAACACTCACTACAACACCCACCACAAGCACTACATTCAGTAAAACACACCACCACCACAACACTCACCACAAGAACTACACTCAGTTCAACACTTACCACCACCAGCAGCATCAGGGGCGGAGGTTCACTTCTTCGTCTGCTAATCGCAAGACAGACGCTTCATAACTTTGCTAACATATTAGTTATCTCCACTCCAAAAATTCTGCAGCCATACAGAAGCAGATCAGAATTTGGGTGGTTACTGGGGACTAGGCAAAAGTGTATAGCCGCTGTCATCCTAAGAGAAAAAATAGATGCCACGCTCTACTGCCAACCTGGATGTATATGGTCCCAAGACAGCTGAAACAGGAGTAATGCCTGATTCCAAAGACGGCACAACGCCATCTATTGCCGCAATTTTGACCTTCAAAACAGTTGCAAGATAAGATGTATTTTTTCCTATAGATACAAAGCGCTATTTTCCAAGCCAAAGATGTAGGTGGGATGAAATAATTTACACAAATAAGATCTATATCCAGGCAGTAGTGAGAGAGACGTGGTTTCGGGAAAGCACCTGCCTCGCCAATGACATCACTGCATAGTGCTGCTACCTTATTCTATACGATACTTACACAGTGTGAACAAAGCTAATTGTTTCCTTGTCACAATCCATCACGTAGGATGGGGCGCATAAACGGTGTAAAACGTTACACACTAAAGCAAAGGAGTTAGGCGAAGTTATATTTTGCTATATGATAATTACAATGTTTTTAGTAATGTTAATTTTGTTTTGGCATCATGCTTATAGTAGGTTTATGTGATTAATACTCGGACCATTATTCTAGTACACAGCGCCTGCGTGGAACCCTCATCCTGATGCATTTTTTTTTTTTGTTGAAAATTTAGAAGTTTGCTCTTAGGCTGGCTCCAGAACTAAGAGCTGAGATACGACCATGAGTTAAGGAAGCTACATCTTACACCAGTAAAGTGTCGAAGAACCAGAGGAATTATATTCTGACTTACAGAATACTCAAGAGACAAAGGTGATTTAGATACATTATTTCACTTGCAAAGGAAGCGAATGAGATATGATAAAGACTAAAAGGGTTGGGAGTAAGTCACACCAGATAACCGATAAACAAATACTAAGTACATTAGTAAGAGATCATCGTACACGCATTATTACTCACCTCCACCATTTTTGTAGCACAGATAAGGGAACCTCCAGACGTTGCCGAAGCCTACAGCGTAGCTCAGACAGTAACAAAAGAACTGTAGCTTGCTGCCCCACTTTACTCTATCATCACCACCATGACCCTCCTCCATCGACATTTTCTCATTTGTTATTGTGATGGCTGTGGAAAGGTTGGCCGGGGCTGTGGCGATTGTGAAGGTGCTATTTATGGTAGCGTCGACTGTGGGTGTGTTATCTGTGGTGGTGGTGACTGTGGTAGTGCTGTCTGTGGTGGTGGTGGTGGTGGTGACAGTGGAGGTGATGTCTGTGGTGAATGAGGTGGCAATGGCTTTGCCGGCGGTTTCAGCAACAGTTGTGGTAGTGGTGGTGGCAATAACGGGGGCATCTCCGGTCATCTTAGTACGTCTTATGGTTATTTTACATGCTGTGCAGGAAAAGAAACAAAAAAACAATTGCATTACCATAATGAAGGGATATACTATTAAGAGACTTTTCACTCATGGGCATTCGCCTCTATTATTTAAGAAAAATAAAACGTACCCAGTCCATTGGCATTGCTTCATTAGTAATGGATTTCTTGCGTTCCAGCGTAGTGTGAAAATAAATTTTTATTTATTTTATTAACACACTGGCCGATTCCCACCAAGGCAGGGTGGCCCGAAAAAAAAAACTTTCACCATCATTCACTCCATCACTGTCTTGCCAGAAGGGTGGTTTACACTACAGTTTTTAAACTGCAACATTAACACCCCTCCTTCAGAGTGCAGGCACTGTACTTCCCATCTCCAGGACTCAAGTTCGGCCTGCCGGTTTCCCTGAATCCCTTCATAAATGTTACTTTGCTCACACTCCAACAGCACGTCAAGTATTAAAAACCATTTGTCTCCATTCATTCCTATCAAACACGCTCACGCATGCCTGCTGGAAGTCCAAGCCCCTCGCACACAAAACCTCCTTTACCCCCTCTCTCCAACCTTTCCTAGGCCGACCCCTACCCCGCCTTCCTTCCACTACAGACTGATACACTCTTGAAGTCATTCTGTTTCGCTCCATTCTCTCTACATGTCCGAACCACCTCAACAACCCTTCCTCAGCCCTCTGGACAACAGTTTTGGTAATCCTGCACCTCCTCCTAACTTCCAAACTACGAATTCTCTGCATTATATTCACACCACACATTGCTCTCAGACATGACATCTCCACTGCCTCCAGCCTTCTCCTCGCTGCAACATTCATCACCATGCTTCACACCCATATAAGAGCGTTGGTAAAACTATACTCTCATACATTCCCCTCTTTGCCTCCAAGGACAAAATTCTTTGTCTCCACAGACTCCTAAGTGCACCGCTCACCCTTTTCCCCTCATCAATTCTATGATTCACCTCATCTTTCATAGACCCATCTGCTGACACGTCCACTCCCAAATATCTGAATACATTCACCTCCTCCATACTCTCTCCCTCCAATCTGATATCCAATCTTTCATCACCTAATCGTTTTGTTATCCTCATAACCTTACTCTTTCCTGTATTCACTTTTAATTTTCTTCTTTTGCATACCCTACCAAATTCATCCACCAACCTCTGCAACTTCTCTTCAGAATCTCCCAAGAGCACAGTGTCATCAGCAAAGAGCAACTGTGACAACTCCCACTTTATGTGTGATTCTTTATCTTTTAAATCCACACCTCTTGCCAAGACCCTCGCATTTACTTCTCTTACAACCCCATCTATAAATATATTAAACAACCACGGTGACATCACACATCCTTGTCTAAGGCCTACTTTTACTGGGAAATAATCTCCCTTTCCTACATACTCTAACTTGAGCCTCACTATCCTCGTAAAAACTCTTCACTGCTTTCAGTAACCTACCTCCTACACCATACACCTGCAACATCTGCCACATTGCCCCCCTTTCCACCATGTCATACGCCTTTTCCAAATCCATAAATGCCACAAAAACCTCTTTAGCCTTATCTAAATACTGTTCACTTATATGTTTCACTTTAAACACCTGGTCCACATACCCCCTACCTTTCCTAAAGCCTCCTTGTTCATCTGCTATTCTATTCTCCGTTTTACTCTTAATTCTTTCAATAATAACTCTACCATACATTTTACCAGGTATACTCAACAGACTTATCCCCCCTATAATTTTTGCACTCTCTTTTGTCCCCTTTGCCTTTATACAAAGTAACTATGCATGCTCTCTGTCAATCCCTAGGTACCTTACCCTCTTCCATACATTTATTAAATAATTGCACCAACCACTCCAAAACTATATACCCACCTGCTTTTAACATTTCTATCTTTATCCCATGAATCCCGGCTGCCTTACCCCCTTTCATTTTACCTACTGCCTCACGAACTTCCCCCACACTCACAACTGGCTCTTCCTCACTCCTACAAGATGTTATTCCTCCTTGCCCTATACACGAAATCATAGCTTCCCTATCTTCATCAACAATTAACAATTCCTCAAAATATTCCTTCCATATTCCCAATACCTCTAACTCTCCATTTAATAACTCTCCTCTCCTATTTTTAACTGACAAATCCATTTGTTCTCTAGGCTTCCTTAACTCACTCCAAAACTTTTTCTTATTTTCAACAAAATTTGTTGATAACATCTCACCCACTCTCTCATTTGCTCTCTTTTTACATTGCTTCACCACTCTCTTAACCTCTCTTTTTCTCCATATACTCTTCCCTCCTTGCATCACTTCTACTTTGTAAAAACTTCTCATATGCTAACCTTTTCTCCCTTACTACTCTCTTTACATCATCATTTCACCAATCGCTCCTCTTCCCTCCCGCACCCACTTTCCTGTAACCACAAACTTCTGCTGAACACTCTAACACTACATTTTTAAACCTACCCCATACCTCTTCGACCCCATTGCCTATGCTCTCATTTGCCCATCTATCCTCCAATAGCTGTTTATGTCTTACCCTAACTGCCTCCTCTTTTAGTTTATAAACCTTCACCTCTCTCTTCCCTGATGCTTCTATTCTCCTTGTATCCCATCTACCTTTTACTCTCAGTGTACCTACAACTAAGAAGCGATCTGATATATCTGTGGCCCCTCTATAAACATGTACATCCTGAAGTCTACTCAACAGTCTTTTATCTACCAATACATAATCCAACAAACTACTGTCATTTCGCCCTACATCATATCTTGTATACTTATTTATCCTCTTCTTCTTAAAATATGTATTACCTATAACTAAACCCCTTAGTATACAAAGTTCAATCAAAGGGCTCCCATTATCATTTACACCTGGCACCCCAAACTTACATACCACACCCTCTCTAAAAGTTTCTCCTACTTTAGCATTCAGGTCCCCTACCACAATTACTATCTCACTTGGTTCAAAGGTTCCTATACATTCACTTAACATCTCCCAAAATCTCTCTCTCTCCTCTACATTCCTCTCTTCTCCAGGTGCATACACGCTTATTATGACCCACTTTTCGCATCCAACCTTTACTTTAATCCACATAATCCTTGAATTTGCACATTCATATTCTCTTTTCTCCTTCCATAACTGATCCTTCAACATTACTGCTACCCCTTCCTTAGCTCTAACTCTCTCAGATACTCCAGATTTAATCCCATTTATTTCCCCCCACCGAAACTCCCCTACCCCCTTCAGCTTTGTTTCGCTTAGGGCCAGGACATCCAACTTCTTTTCATTCATAACATCAGCAATCATCTGTTTCTTGTCATCCGCACTACATCCACGCACATTCAAGCATCCCAGTTTTATTAAGTTTTTCTTCTCTTTTTTTAGTAAATGTTTACAGGAGAAGGGGTTACTAGCCCATCGCTCCCGGCATTTTAGTCGCCTCATACGACACGCATGGCTTACGGAGGAAAGATTCTTTTCCACTTCCCCATGGACAACAGAAGAAATAAAGAAGAACAAGAGCTATTTAGAAAAAGGAGAAAAACCTAGATGTATGTATATATATATATATATATAATATATATATATATATATATATATATATATATATATATATATATATATTATATATATATATTATGCATGTGCGTGTCTGTGAAGTGTGACAAAAGTGTAAGTAGGAATAGCAAGATATCCCTGTTATCTAGCGTGTTTATGAGACAGAAAAAGGACACCAGCAATCCTACCATCATGCAAAACAGTTACAGGTTTCTGTTTCACAGTCATCTGGCAGAACGGTAGTACTTCCCTGGGTGGTTGCTATCTACCATCCTACTAGCGATAAAGAAGCAAATAATCTCTCTTGCATTTGATTACTCACCCCAGATATATTTGTGGCATTTATTCTAGAGTATAAGGGCTACGTCCCTCTCAGTGTATCATGCTGAGAGTTACTGTAATCCTTATTTTAGGAATTAAAGTATTCGTACCTAGGTGGTGAGCAGGTTACATGTAGTAGATAGGCCTTAAAGCCACTTACCCAACCTTAGAATATACAAATATTCCTCGGTCTTGGAAGATTATTATAATAATTATAATCATGGGGGAGCGCTAACCCTGTAGGATTATACAGTGCATGGGGGGGATGGAAGGTATTCAGACTCAATTCAGGGAACCGGAGCACAGATCCAATTCCCTAGATCAAGAGCCCCTCCCTTGAGGGGACACTGTCTTAGTCATATATACTGAATCTCAACACAATTTTTTTTATTCGCCGGTATTCTCCCGGCCCGGGTCTTTTCCAAGTAGTGGTGACCCGGCCTTCGCTCCCTATCTGGGGAGTATCTCGAGACCTAAGTCTCCCATGGGAGGAGGTACAAGTGCCCCCTCATCTTTGGGACCGACTGTCCCCAGGCCTAGCCACAGTCCCCGCCCTCACGGGGCTCGTAGGGAGAAGGTAGGCCTCTGGTCTGCCATCTGCCCCACCCCAAAGGGGCTAGTGGGGATGGCATACACAATGATTCTTTCATTCCCGTAGTACGTGATTCTATATTACTCCACGTCACTTATACTAGACTTTTATGTTAATTTCAGGTGTCATACAGTCTTAAGTTTAGATGGTGAGACCAATGGGCATGGTCATAAATCGACAATTATATTGTTATGCACCGCGTAAACTACGCCTGCGTCCTTGGATTTGTTAAAAGTAGTATATCACGACAACGTGACTCTTCTAGACTCGCCGGTACTGCCGGCTCGAGTCTTTGCCAGTTGGCAACCAGGCCTTGGCTCCCTATCGCGGGAGTGAGACGTATGTCTGCCTCATCTTCTGGGACCAATTGTCTCCAGGCCTGGCCCCATTCCCCGCCCTCACGGGGCTCGTAAGGAAAAGTTAAGCACCTTGGGCTGCCACAAACCCCGCCCCACTGAGTTCGAAGGGTGTGGCAGCTACATAGCGACAGACGATGTCAGGAGGTGCAAAGGCAGCAAGTACTACAGGATCCTTTTG